TCCACCTCTCCCTACCACCAGCTGGCACCTGGCTTTTCTTTCCTGGTGAGGTCAGATGCTCAGGACGTCAATACTGGCCTGAGGATGATGCTCCCCAGTCTGTAACTTTGGTCCCAGCCCTGAAACTTGCACCTCCAATTCTGTGCCAGGATGTCACTGACCAAAGCAATATGCCAGTGCCAAACTCAACCTGCCACAGCACAAATTCATCAGTCTTCCCAGGAAGATCCCTACCTGACCTGTGCTTCCTAGTGCTGTCATCTGGGCACCAAGGCTCAAAAGTCCTGTTGCTTTCATTTTCTTTCTTGCGTAATAATAATAATCATGATAAGAATAGCTAACCTGGAACACTATACTGAGCCAGTCACTATTCTAAGCATTTTACTTAAGTTAACATATTTCTGCACATTGCCATTTCTATGTCATTATTATCTATATTATCATTGTTATGTCTATCTTATTGTTATTTTCCACAGATGACAGCCCAGGCACACAGAGTTTAAGTGACTTGTCTGAGGCCTGCGAGAGATGGGGCTGGCATTTGAACCCAAGGACTTTGCCACCAGAGCCTGAACTCTGGAAGCTCTGTTAACAGGACAGAAGTCTCAGAGTGCAGCTTCTCTCAAACCTGCTCCTGTGTCTGCATTCTGCCCCTGCCACTCTGACTCAGGCCCACTCCTCTGCTTGGCTCTATTCTTTCATTAACCCACTAAGGAGTGTCCCCAGCTCCAGTCGCCTGTCTATTACTTGGTCCTATGCTGTGCCAGCAGTGCTCTTACTAAAGCCTGGCTCTGCCACAAAAAATCCTCTGTGGTTCTGCTCAAGAATGACTCAACTTCCTGGCAAGCCTCCGTGAATGTCTCAGCCTGGCCCAGCCCCAGCCTCCGCTCAACCCCAACACTCGCTGCTCTCTCTCCTGCCCTCTGCAGCCCTGGGTCCTATCCCCCTCCCTCATATCCCTCAATGCCCAGCTCAGGGGATCTGCCAGGAGGGGTCTTTTGGATCATCCTTATGGCAACTGACCAAACTGACATTGCTGCTAGTAACTGTGCTTGTGTCCCACCTTTTGTTTGTGACTACAGGCCCAGTTCTGACTCTGGCTCCTGAAGGGAATCTGATCTCAATCTAACTTTTCCCAGGACAGGAGACTGAGGGAGTACATCACAGTGGTTAATGGTATAACCCTTGGACTCCAAAGACCTGGACTTGAATCTCAGCTCTACCACTGACTAGCAGGGTGACCCTGATATCTTATTCTATTTCTCTGAGCCCCACACACATTTTCTCTAAGCAAGGGATGATTAATGCTGTTCCCCCTGCAAGGCTCTTGGGTTCCATAAGGTGATATTTGCACAATGCATGGAACACTAGTTGTACTTAATAAGCTGCGGTTAGAACATCTGCAGATGCCACTTCTTACTGCTGCACAAGGCAACCAGTGAATGAGTGTAACCTGGCTCCCCAGGTAGTGAGTGCTCAACAAGAGGGCTGCTCTTGTCCCAGCACAATGCACCATCCACAGCCTACCTATCTGGTTTTGTCTGTCTCTCTACCATGTTTCAAAAAATCTAAAATGAAGAAATTTTCATCTAAATTAAAAAACTGAAAACAAAAGCTGCAATCTTAAGGCTATTGACCACCTGTTAGAGATCTGAATTTGGAAAACTCAACCAAAGCTGGGATTTCCACCATCCTAAATGCATTCATCAAATTAGCTACAGAATTAGTCCAAAGAATTGTTTCAAAATTGGTCAGAATACGATAGAAAAACAAACAAAAAAACTGTGGACAAAACAGTTAATTTTATAAATAATTGTTCAGGAGGCTAAAGGTGAAGGGAAGGTTAAAAAGGTTTGGACTAGTGCTGCTACATAGAAAGACAATGCATGCCACATACGCAGCCTCAAAGTTCTAGTAACCACATCACAAAGTAAAATGAAAAAGGTGAATTTTCATAATATAATTTATGGACTCAAATCATCAAAAAAGTATCATTCTAACATTTAATCAATAAACTTTTAAGATAGTTCATATTCTTTTCTCATACAGAGTCTTAGACATTTGCTGTGTATTCTATACTCATGGCACACTGTAATTTGGATTCCTGTATTTCAAGAATTTTTTTTTTGCAGCTTTTGGCTAGGGCTGGGTTTGAACCCATCACCTCTAGTATATGGGGCTGGCACCCTAGTCCTTGAGCCACAGGTGCTGCCCAGGATGCCTGTATTTCAAATAGTCTGTAGTCTATGGCTACATGGCTGCCATTTTGGACACTGAGATGGTGTCCCCACACACTCATGCATCAGCCCTCGCCTAGAACTAGTCAAAGGGTTGACTAAAGCTTATAATGTTGTTTGTCAACTATGACCAGGCAGCTGGAGCTGTTGGCATTCACTCTCTGCCCTTCTGAAGGCCTCACCATTTCCCACTAAATGGCTTTAAGGTTAAGATGCACTCTGAATTGTTTTAAAAGAACAATAGCCTTTGTTTTAGGTTACCCAGGGCCAACTTCCATTTGTTTGGAAGTTCTGTGGGACCTCAGTGTCACCTCCCTTTAGTTCAGGCATCCTGGTGATAGATCACAATATTGAGTGGAAAATGACTTTCATTTTGGGGGACCAACCTGTTAAGGAGATGATTGACTATAATACTGTTACTTTGGGATTAAAAATACCTTTTAACTGTATTTGTGTTTATCTGAAAATATTGATTAAGGGGGTACAAGTGTTTTTGTTACATGGACATTTTGTATAATGCTTAAATCAGGGCTTTTGGTGTGCCCATGACCAGAACAGTGTCCACTGTACCCTACAGTAAGTTTCTGTGGCACACTCACCCTCCACCTTCCCCTCTTCTTGGTTTCTGATGTCCTTTATATCACTTCGTGTCCATGTGTACCTATCTCTTAGCCCCTAAGTATTGGTGAGAACATATGGTGTTTAGATTTTCATTCCTGAGATACTTCACTTAGGATAATGGTCTCCAGTTCCATCCAAGTTGTTACGGATGACATTATTTCACTCCTTTTCATGGATGAGTAGTACTCCATGCTGTATGGGCGTGTATATATACACATATATACACTACATTTTCTCTATCCATTCATGAATTGAAGGGCACTTAGGTTGATTTCACATCTTTGCAGTTTTGAATTGTGCTGAAGTAAACATTTGAGATCAGGTGTCTTTTTGGTAAAATGATTTTTCTTTAGGTAGATACCCAGAAATGAGATTGCTGGATAGGATGATAAGTCTATATTTATTTTCTTTTTTGAGAATCTCCATATTTTTTCTATAGAAGTTATACTAATCTGCAGTCCCACCAACAGCGTATAAGCATTCTTTTCTCTCTGCATTCACGCCAGCATCTGTTGTTTTTTGACTTTTTAATAATGGCCCTTCTCATAAGGGTTGGGTTGCTCTTAATTTGAATTTTCCTGATAATTATTGATATCAAACATTTTTTTCAGATGTTTGTTGGCCATTTGTCTATTTTCTTTCAAAAAGCTTCTGTTCATGCCTTTTGCTCACTTTTTAATGAAGTTTTTCTTTTTTTCTTATAGATTTGTTTAAGTTCTTTGTAGACTGTGGATACTATGGATTTGTTAGATGTGTCGTTGGTGAATATTTTCTCCCAATCTGTAGGTTGTCTATTCACTCTGCTAAGCAGAAGTTTTTTTATTTAAATAAGTCCCATTTATTTATTTTTGTTGTTGCTACCTTTGCTTTTGGGGTCTTAGACATAAATCCTTTGTCTAGGCCAATGCCTTAGAGTTTTTCCTATATTTTCATCTACAAGTTTCATGGTTTCATGCCTTACATTTTAAGTTTTTAATCCATCTTGATTAAAGATGGATTGATTTTGGTATATGGCAAGAGATAGGAGTCCTGTCTCATTCTTCTGAATGTGGCTGTCCAATTTTCCCAGCACCATTTGTTGGAGAGGGCTTCCTTTCCCCAGCGTATGTTGTCTTCTTTGTTGAAGATCAGTTGGTTATAGGGAGATGGTTTTATTCCTGGGTTCTCTATCCGGTTCCATTGGTTTATGTCTCTACTTTTATATCAGTACCATGGTGTTTTGGTTACTACAGACTTGTAGTATAATTTAAAGACAGGTAATGTGATGCCTCCAGATTTGTTCATTTTCCTTAATACTGCTTTGGTTATTCAGGCTTTTTCGGGTTCCTAGTGAAATTTAAGATTATTCCTTTTAGATCTGTGAAACATGATGCTGGTATAGGGGATTGCGTTGAATCTGTAAATCACTCTGGGCAATAAGGACATTTTAAAAATGTTGATTCTACCAATCCACGAGCAGGGGACATTTTCCCATTTGTTTGTGTCATCTGCGATTTCTTTCAACAGAGTCACTTTAAAAAAAACACACACACACATTTGAGCTCTAAAAATAGTTTACACTTTGAGTATAATATCTCAAAACTTTGAGTAATACCTCAAAACATTCTTCAGCCGAATGTTGTAACACTGTTTAGATAAGGGTCAACTAGCTGGTAATCTATGACTTAGAGCCCTTCATGGTATTTCCAACCCAAAATATAAAAATGGTATCCTCAGGAAATTAGATTCTAGCACCAAGTATTCCAAAGTAGTCTATGGCAGCATTAACCAAGAGAACTTTCTACAGTCATAAAATTATTCCATATCCAGACTGTCGAATATGATAGCCACCAGCTAGACATTGCTACTGAGCACTTGGAACCGAAATCTAGTTTACAAACTTTATTCAAGACACAAGTGTGAAGTACCATGGATCTCAGATGCTATGACCTCATAGAAAGTTTCCTCCTCAGCATTCCCCAGGAGAGTAACAAATTAGCCTAGCAAATTTACTTTTTGTCAAGAATGATAAGGAAATTGCTGAGGTATCAAGAATATCTGCTCTTCAAATTTATAGCCTGGTCCATGTCCTTTGGTACTTGAGGGGAGGGAGTTCCTTGCCATCAGGAAGGCATAGGCTGGGAACAGGTCACCAGTTCTCCAAGTTGTATGGCTGGCCCAGAATCTCTGGGGGGCCAAGAAAGACTCCAGAAATAGTGCTAGCATACCTGTTACCCACTTCAAAGTCACTCAACTCAACAAAAAACCCCTTTCCTACCTGGGAGCCCCACCTACGTTATAAGACATAGAAATTGTAAAGGTGGCAGCTAAGAAATATAACAATATGTAGAAATGTACCACCCATAAAAGGCAGCTATGGAACAGGCCTTGAAAGAATTAGGCTGTGCTCCCAGGCCTGTGAAGTTCTCTGTGGCCCAAGGATTCCACTTAAGATAATGCAGAAACTTAGGAGAAACCTGGTATACTCAGCAACCCCAAACAACATGTAAAACAAAAACGTTTCTCCTTCTTTTCAAATGTCTAAAATTTCAGACTTTGTTTTTATTTTCAAACTATATTCTTGCCTTTGAAAAACCAATTGAAGCTTGAAAACTAATTGAAAAATCTAATTTAAAAAAAGCATACATACCTTTAAAAACAACACAGCACTTACTGCAATCACTAGTACTACTGATGCTGTAATTAGATACCTGTGCCTTGGATGACCTGTAAAAAAAAAAAAAGGTAAAGAAATTAAACTAGCTGAAATGATCAAAATGAAGATACATTGGGCTTGGCAACTGTAGCACAGTGGTTACAGCACCAGCCACATACACTGAAGTTGGCCAGTTCAAACTCGGCCCAGGCCAGTTGAACAACAATGACAACTGCAACAAAAAATAGTAGGACATTGTGGTGAGCATCTGTAGTTCCAGCTACTTGGGAGGCTGAGGCAAGAGAATCACTTAAGTCCAAGAGTTGGAGATCGCTGTGAGCTGTGATGCCACTGTACTCTACTGAGGGCGACATAGTGAGATTGTCTCAAAAAAAAAAAAAAAAAAAAGAAGAAGATACAGCTGATCTCTCTTATTTGCAGATTCCTACTTGCAATTTGACTTCTTCCTAAAATTTATTTGTGATCCCCAAATCAAGACTCATAGCAGTCATTCTCAGGCAGCACAACAGCAAAAATTTTGGGTCACCTAACACGCACATTCCCAGCTGAGATGGATCAAGGCTACCTTCTTGTTTCAACTCTTACATTCTGAACAAGTGTCCTATTTGTTGTCTATTTTTTGCTGTGATTTTGCATTTTTATCCTTTTTGTAGGTGATTTCACTGTTTAAAATGGCCGCAAGCTGGCAGGGCACAGTGGCTCATGCCTATAATCCTAGGACTCTGGGAGGCTGACGCAAGTGGATAGCTTGAGCTCACAAGTTCAAGGCCAGCCTGAGCAAAAGCAAGACCCCTCCTCTACTAAAAATAGTAAAACTGAGGCAAGAGGATTGCTTGAACCCAAGAGTTGGAGGTTGCTATGAGCTATGACACCACAGCACTCTACATAGGGTGTCAGCTTGAGACTCTGACTCATAATAAAGCAAATAGAATAGAATAGAATAGAATGGCCACAAGCATAGTGAAGTACTGACTAGTATTCTTAAGTACAAGAAGGCTGTCGTGTGCCTTACGGAGAAAATGTATGTATTATGAAACATGGGTTTCACTTAGGCCTGAGTTAGAGCCCTGTGGCTGAGAGTTCAAAGTTAATGAATCAGCAGTACCTATTAAGTGATCTTTAAACAGAAACACATATAAAACAAGGTTACAAACGGAACATTAACAAAAATGTTTTGATCACTGGCTCACAGGAACCTAGCCCTTATCTCCCCTAAGAATAATGGTTCAGTACTTGGTATTTCAGTATTCAAGATGTCTTTACAGGACATAACTACTGTGACTGACAAGAATCAACTCTTTCCAAATGAACTTATGTGCATATGGTTGACACATACTAGGCCCTGTGTTATTTATTAGAAGAAGCAAACGTTCCATGAGAAGATTTGTTTCTGATGGTTCTTCACTGGGCCAGTGGCAGCATAACACGGCATCATGTGCTTCATAGGGCAATTCAGCAGCTGTACATAACAAGCCTTAGGAATATTTAGTCTCAAGAAGCTGGGCATTGGCCGGGCACAGTGGCTCACACCTGTAATCCCAGCACCGTGGGAGGTTGAGTGGATTGCTTGAGCTCAGGAGTTCGAGCTTTGTCTGAGCCAGAGTGAGACCCTGACTCATGAAAAAAATTGAAAAACCCAGCCAGGCACTGCGGCAAGTGCTATAATCCCAGCGGCTTCAGAGGTTTAGACAGCAGGATGCCCACAGCCTGAGTCTGAGGTTGCAGTGAGCTACAATGCCATTGCACTCTCTGCTTAGGGCATAGGGTAGAACTCTGTCTCAACAACAACAACAACCAAAAAAAAAAAAAAAAAAAAAAAAACAAGGAAAAGAAAAAAAGAAGCTGGGCATTGTGGTAAGTGATGTGCCTACAGTCTCACTAAATCATTAAAAAGTTGGGCAGTGCCTTAAGCTTCACTGCCTCAGTTTCCTCATAGGGTACCCATAAATGGGACATACAAACATACTATTTCTTAGGGCCGTTGCACTTAAGAAACAGTTGTTATATAATGCCATTATCCCATTGAGTAGAGGTTCTTGGTATCATTATTAATATCTCTTAATTTTATTTCCGAGGTGTTATCCTGGGGAAATTATCAATGATGTGACCTTCCCCAACTTACTTATAATACCAGAAAAGCTGAAAAATAAACCCTGAGTGTCTTCAAAAAACTACTGTGGTATGTTCATGAGGTGGTCTCTACCCAGCTGTTGAAAATCCAAAGGAATATTTCAGGATATGTGAAAACGTTCACCATGCATTGCTAAGGGACAGGGGAGGAGCCCCTCACAGAAAGTATGAGGTGCACATGGGAGGGGAGGGGAGAGCAGAGAGAGAGAAGTGAGTGAAGAATGAGACTCAGGAGACAGATGCATGTTCTTCCCTTTCATTGGGAGCTCATGAGAGTTGGAACAAACAGGCGGTCACATTACCAACCTCTGTGATGTGAGAGGACTCTGACTGGAAAGTGCCCGCTGCCCCTCCACCCCGAAATCCAGTCTCACCTCTTACCTAACAGAATTTGATGTTAAGCTGGGCATGATACCATCACCCTAAAGATTAATTTTTCTGCCTTTTTTGAAGCTAGGTTTGAGAGGTGACTAAGTTTGGGGGCAGTGAGTGAAGAAGGGTTATAGAATATTTCTCACAAATCTCCAAAAGAGGAGAAGGCGTACTATTCTCTACTTTTTGCATCCTGGTGCCCAAAAGACAACATGCTGGCCAATCTTGATCAGCCATAGCCTGGGGAAGGCAGCAGGTGTTAGGTCTCTGATAACTTCATAAAGTAGCAATATGCCCAGGGCTGCCTATCTCCATTTTTTTTTTTTTGCATAAAAGAAGTAATCTTCATTTCTAAGCCCTGCTATGGTTTCTTCTTCAATTTTATGCCCATGAATTAATTCTAATCGATACAATCCCTTCCAAAAAGCTCTCTTCCATGGGATGCTGCCAGATGCCGCACTCTGAGACAGCAGATCTCGAAGGTGAGAATGAGGATAGCACACATTTGATTCTCTGTGCTTCTCCTTGACCTGTCCACTGCTTTGACTGCTGATTGCTCCCTCTTCACCTGTCCTCTCAGGTAACGTATCTCAGAGTTCTCTTTCTACCTCCCTGGAGACCTTTTTGCCTCCTTGCTGGATCTTCTTCCTCGTAACAGCATCTAAATGCTGGAGTCCCTCCCAGGACACCTCCCTGACACCTGCTCCAAGCGATCTTATCTAGCCCATGGCTTTTCCTGCCTACTATACCCCTTATGCCCAGATTTATGTCTCCAGCCTGACTGCTCACTAGAGACCTAGACTCGGGACTCTACGTGCCTTCCTTGATATCTACATTTGAAACCTAACAGGATCCTAAACTTAACATGTCAAAAAACAAACTTATTTTGTCCAAATACCTGTGTTCCCCAGCCTTCTCCGTTTCAGTAAATGGTGACATGATTCATTCACTTGTTCAGGCCAGAAATTTAGGTGTCTCTTGAGTACTATTAGACAACTTTCTCCCCAACACAAACAATTAGGAAAATATCTGGGCTCTATTTCCAAAATGTATCCTGAACTGAACAACTTCCACCAGCACCCATGGCTACCACTCCAATCCAAGACATCATGTTTTCTTTTTTTTTTTTTGAAATGGAGCCTCAAGCTATCCCCCTGGGTAGAGTGCCATGGCATCATGCTCACAGCAACCTCCAACTCCTGGGCTCAAGTGAGTCTCCTGCCTCAGCCTCCCAAGTAGCTGGGACTACAGGCGCCCGCCACAACGCCCGGCAATTTTTTGGTTGCAGCCATCATTGTTGTTTGGCGGGCCCGGGCTGAGGATTCAAACCTGCCACCTTAGGTGTATGTGGCTGGCGCCTTAGCCGCTTGAGCCACAGGCACCGAGCCGACATCATGTTTTCTTTCTTGGAGTTTCCAAAGGAGGTGCATGCACCCCAAGGAGTACAGATGATGGTCAATTAGATGCAACAAATTAGAACCTAATTATAGTTATTATTTATATCATTCTTCAATTTTTTCCCTATTTTATGTTTTAAAATAGTATAAATTACAGTCAGTATTCTTTGGGTACTGGCTCCAGGATCCCAATGGGATCAAAGTTCACAAATACTCAAGTACCTCAATCGGCCCTGTGGAACCCATGGATATAAAAAGTTGGCCCTCCACCTGTGCAGGTTTTGTGACTGGGAATACTGTATTTTCAGTCTGCACTTGGCTGTGATGCAGAACCTCCCAATGGGAGGCTAACTGTATTTACAGAAAATTCTGCATATAAGTGGACCCGTGCAGTTCAAACTCGTATTGTTAAAGGGTCAACTATGTATCATTCAGTAGTATATACTATGGAGGAAGTGTCTGTGGATCCTCAGTGTCCAATTTTCTTTGGTCATATAAAGCCTGCGTTGTACCTGGGGATGTGGCCAGATAGCTAAATACTACACTCCCTAGCTAGGTGTGGCCACAAACTCAATTTGGCCAAGGGGGTGTGCCTGCAAGTGACACGTGCCTCACTGTGTTAACGCCCACAGGGGAGAACGGTGCTCCACCCTCTCCCTCTCTCTCCCCACCTGCTATGAAGCAAGTAGAGATGTGAACCCCTGTCTGACTCCAGGCAGCACAATTTCTAAGCCATAAATACTTCAGAATACATTTCTAAAAGACAAGGATCATTTGTAAAATATAACCATGCCATTATCATACCCATAAAATTATCGTGTTTAATATACACATATGAAGCCAGTGTTTAAATTTCTCTCTTTTAAAACTGTCCTTAAAAATCAAGATTAAGGGTGGCACTTGTGGCTCAAAGGAGTAGGGCACCGGCCCTATATGCCGGAGGTGGTGGGTTCAAACCCACAACCAAACCCTGGCCAAAAACTGCAAAAAAAAAAAAAATCAAGATTAAGTGCTAATTTAAATAATTGCTATTTTTTCATAAATTTCTATTAATCAATATGTTTCTTAAGTCTCTTTAATCTATAATTTTAATAAAATTTTAGGTAATTTTAATAAAATTTATTGGAACAGGCCTTTATAAATTTTAGTTTATTTCCCCTAATAAAATATGAGATGGATAAGATAGGATAATTAATCCTGTCTTTAATTTTCATTGTCTCAAAAACTCTTCTTTAGCTTATTAAGTTTTAACTAGTTAATAACCTCCTCCCTTTCTGGGCTATGGTGATGGCAAGCCGGTAGATCTCATGACTAAAATCCACAGATTACAAAGAGTCCCCAGCAGACAAAAAGTTGCAAGAAACATGTAGACCAATACCTGCATATATCAACAAGATATGATTTTCACTAGCTGTGAATAAGTTAAAAATTATTTTTTATTCACTAGCTGTGAATGAGTAAATGATATGATTTTCACTGGCTGTGAATAAAAAAATTTTTTTAAATTTGATTTTGGGACATATGAAGTAAGTATCAAAACTGTATCATGAGAAAAACTCTGCAATTCAAAGGTCTAAATTTTAACTCTCTCTCCATTACTTAAGGGACCCCAGGAAAGTCACATGCCACCTGGTTGGACCCGACTCTGCATTGTAAAAAGATAAAGAACAACAGTGTTTGGCTGGTCTGAAATGGGAGTGGTGAGGCACCACAGAGGCAGCTGTCTGGGTGGGTCTGTGGCAGGCTAGTCGGTGTGAGTCACTGTGCTTCATCAGTGCAGCGTTAGAAGCTTACAGGAGAAACCAAAACCTACGAAATGAAGATCTGGTATAAAACCGTTACGCCTTCATGGGTCTGCCACCGCTGTGATGCATGTGGTTCCACAGAAAAGTATTCAAAAATCATAATGAGAAAAAAACACTAATTAAAAAGGGGAGTTGTTTTCAAAGTAATAACACATACTTCATATATTCAATGAAAGGAATATTCTGACGATGATCTTTTATCAGAGCACGCACAGACAAGGCATCTTACTTGGCTATCTTCCATTGTAATGACAAAGGAAGAATAGAAACCTGAAAATCGCCTCAAATATTCCATATAATTCTATTGGGGTGGGTCTTACTCAGAAATTATTTCTTTCAAGTATTTTGTCTCTTGGAACACTTAAAGCTTTTCAGATTTCAGCTTGCTCTGTACATGGTCACCTTCTTTCTCCTAGTTGGTCATATCCAGCACCCAGCACACTGGTTTTGGTTTTTGCCATTCCCACTATAAGGCAACTATCTGCTATTACAACAAATTGCATTTCCGTATTGTACGCTTTGGGTATTATGCAACACTCAGAAGACTTAATAAAAGGGGCAGTGCCTGTGGTTCAGTGAGTAGGGCACCAGCCCCATATACAGAGGGTGGTGGGTTCAAACCTGGCCCCCAGCCACACTACAACAAAAAATAGCCGGGCGTTGTGGCAGGCACCTGTAGTCCTAGCTGCCTGGGAGGCTGAGAAAAGAGAATCACCTAAGCCTAAGAGCTGGAGGTTGCTGTGAGCTGTGACACCACAGCACTCTACCAAGGGCAATAAAGTGAGACTCTTGTCTCTAAAAAGGAAAAAAAAAGCCAAAAAAGAATTAATAAAGGAATATTTGTTTCAAGCATAACTAGTGTAACTTTGTAGCTAGTTTAAAAAACTTGTTGCACTTGTGTGACTTGTGCACACAGTGCTACTTGAGTGACACCTCTGTGGGTCTGGTTTCTTCTCTGTCTTCAGTGACCAAATCCATCAGTTAAAAAACTGGAACTTATTTTGCATTTTTTCTGGAAAAATAAACTTGTTTTCTCAAGAAGTTACTCTGCTTTGGAAGTGATATTATTATTTTTTTTTTTTTT